CTCAGGTTAACCATTGTTAATTTGTTTCACTTATCTGTTGCATCTTAGTGAAAAGAAATTTCAAAATTATTGGGTTTACTTATACAATTATTTGTTAAATTTGATTGTACACCTTTATTTAATATTGCATATATATACATATATATATTGATATGATTATGATTTAATTATTTGCAGTGAATGAGTAATAAGCTAACTGACACGTTTGGGTGTAGAAAACACAATCAGGTAATTCATTGTTTCAATTGTTTAATTTTATGCATGTTACATATGTAATAAGATCCGCTTGTAGATGCCACAAAGGGGTAGAAGTGGTGGTCGTAGACCACCTCATCGTGGTGGTCGAGGTGTACTGGTTGATGATAGAGGTTCACCCAGCCCTAACTCTCCTAGTTCTGTTCGACCAAGATCCATGGAGTCTACTAATCCTATGTTTGTAGAACGCACACCTCCCTCAACTCAGCAGGATTCTCCTGTAGCTATAGTAGGAGAAACAATTCCTACTACCTTCTCTGCTGAGGCGACATTTGGTCAACCTACACAGTACCTGGGTCGGTCGCAACCGAGGTTGAGTCTGGAAATATGGTTGATCAAAGGCCATGGTTACAAGCACACAAAGGAGAGTAAGTATGTTTTAATTTAATTATAATTCTTTAATATGAAATTTCTTAATAATATCAATCCCACAATATGTTTCAACACAGGTTTATACCAAGCAAATGGTCCTCCTGCTATAATCTCTAGAATCATCAAACAAAAATTTGATGAACCAAGTCCCACTTGGAGAAAGGTTTCACTTGAGCTTCGAGATAGATGGTTTGGAGAGTTCAAGGTAATTTGAATTATAGTTACATTAAACAATGTCATTTCATTCTTATAAATTAAATGTTTGTTGTGTATTTTATTTATGCGAAAGAGTATATATGGGATGTGGAACAAGAGCAAGCCATAAGATCTGTTTTTGATAAGAAAGGTTCTCGAATTTTAAAAAACTCAATGAACAAAGTTAGGAAGGGTAAGGATACGGGAATCTGGATACCGCCAACTGTTCGAGCATCTTTGGACTTACATTGGAGTTCTCCAGATTTCCAAAACAAGAGTGCCATTGCCAAGGCTAATCGAGCTGTTGATAAGGGTGCCTCGACTTACTGTGGGGGTTCCATACTACTTGCAGCTCACTTTGAGAAGATGGTAAGTTTATTATATTTTTATATAAGTAATTTAATACAATATATTACACTTTAGGTAATGAATTTTGTCTCATTTTAATGTGTAGACTACGGAGTTTCAACGGGAACCAACCGCTTGGGAGGTTGTTGAGAGGACAAAGAAATTAAAGACTGGACAATGGGTCAATGAAAAAACTCGTTATCTTGTCTGTATGTTTAACATCTAAGTTATAGTTTATTATTCAATATATGTTTTCTTCATAATAATTATATTTCACTTCATTTTTAGGAACAATATATGCAGCGCAGAGAAGAAGTCCATCAACAAAACTTGCGTGAAGGCTCATCTTCACAAGAGTCTCCTATTGTCTCTGTTGATGATAATCAAATATACATTTCAGTTGTTGGAGGTGAAAATAAAAAAGGAAATGTGTATGGACTTGGTACATTGAGCAAAAAGTTCACTACTACATCAGGTTCTCAATCTTCTACTCAAACTCCAGTACTTCATCAAATTGAACAAATGCGTGAGACTATTGAAAAGTTAAATGCTGAATTGGTGGCAAAACATAATAAGGAGAAGACACTTGAAGAAGAGATGTAGGAGTTGAGGAACAACCAACGCCAACAAGATGAGCAGATGAAGCTTATTTTACAACATATTCAAATGAATAGTCATCCTACTACAAGTCAACATGACACTAGTCAACATGACACTGACACTATACCAGTGGACTAATTTTCAATTTTATGATATTAAGACTTTGAATCTTGAGTAGTTGTTAAGTTCTTAAGTTTCATTTGTGTTATATTTGGATGAATTAAGCAGGTACAAATTTTGTAAAATTGGATATACAAAATTTGACTTTATATCTTAAGTTTTCATTTATGTTATGTTTGAATGAATTAAGCAGGTACAAATTTTATGATTTGAATAATTTGACTTTAGTTCTTAAGTTTTTATTTGTGTTGTGTTTAGATGAATTAAACAGGTACAAATTTTGTCAAATTGGATATACAAAATTTTAAATGAAAATTTTCAGATTTGGTTAGATTAGCGATCGAATTTTTGGTCGCTAAAAATTTAGTATAAATTCAAAATTAGCGATCGATTTAGCGATCGATTTAAATTATTATTTAAATAATTCAATTAATATATTAGCGATCAGATTTAGCGATCGATTTTAATTAGTATTTAAATAATTATATTAATATATTAGCGATCGAATATATCGGTCGCTATTTTTAAAATTTTACCACTGATTTAGCGACCGATTTGGCTGACCGATTTATTATATTATTTTCGGTCGCTAATTTGGTCTCCAAAGAATAAGTGACCAAATTATTTAGCGACCACCAGATCGGTCGCTATTTAGCGACCGATATGTAATTCGGTCGCTAACGAATTAGCGACTTACCCTTTTGCGACCAACCATTTCGGTCGCTAACAGAATAGCGACCGATTTTTAGTCATTAGCGACCGATTTTTTCGGTCGCTAATAACGATTTTTCTTATAGTATCTTAATCTATACTTGTTATTCTTAACTGTTAATCTCTTTAATTTACTCTTCATTCATCTCTCTTTTTATATATTCAAATTCGATCATTTTCAGAATAAACCATTAGCATTTTCAAAATAACCTTACATTATAATTTAATCAATTATTTATACTAAGATAATGAATGTGTTGAGAATAAGGTATGCGGTGGCCATAAATTTATGGTGTGATTGTATCTTTAGCAAGACGTTGACACACTAAAGTCTAACAACCCCAAACCAAAACACTGTAAGGGTCCCATGCATTTCATGTCTCATCCCAACTACACCATATGCAATGCAACCCCTCCTTTATACATAATTGTCCTTTCTTCAGTTTTTGTGACAAACCTACATTGTCACTAAGCTTGGGGCCACCACTTTAATTGTTCTCTGCCACACATTATTTAGATTCAGACACACCATCTCTATTTTCTCACTCATATCTTTCTTCAGAATATTGAACAACAAATTATAGATCTATGCCTTACTCATATTTTCTCAAAATTAACTCACTAATACTAATGCAACAACAATCTTTAATAATTTGCTGAAATAATAGATCTATGGATCTTATATAAATTAACATTTTACACACACACAAAATTACTTACATAATATTTATTATGCTTAATTAGTTAAAGAAATTTAAATGTTTTAAATCTTGGAAAAAATATTTATTATAAATATATCTAATTAAATCAACAATTTAAGAAGCAAGAGTCTCTTTTGTGCATAATTGAGAGATTAGGTTTATAGGTCCACTTTAATAAATGCTTACAGATCCTAAAATTATTTAAGAGGAAGGTGTAAAGAGAGGAAGAAGAGAAAATCTTAGAAAAAAAATAGGAGACAAATCTTAATAGTTGAATTTGTTTAGAAAAGTCATTTAAAAGAAACAAATATAAAAAAAATGTACGTATTCTCTATATTGTTATTTTAAAATTACATCACATCAACTAGTTTAATATGAAAAAAATTTGCAGGTCGGTCTATAATTTTTGTATAATTAAAATGATATAAAATCAGAAAAATAGAAAAATAAATAATAAATTGATTTTGATGAAAAATTAAATATTAAATATTAAAAAAATAATTTTTCATTTATCTTATATTAATAATATTAATTCAAAATAATAATTATTTTATTTTAAATATTTTTTATTATATTTTATATTTATAAATTTTATTATAATTTATAACAATTATTAACTATTTTTATTATTTTTATTTTATAAAAAATTATTTTTTATAATAAAATTATTATATTATAAAGATATTATTTTATTAAATCATATTCCACGATTAAATTTTAAATTCATATCATATAAATAACTTATTTTTATAATATTTGTATATAAGTTATTTTAATAATGAAAATAAAATAAAAGATACTTTCATATACATTATAAGTTATTTTCATAACCTATTTTGAAAAACTTAAACAGCTAATTGGCATATATTATAAGCTCTTTCAACTATTTATATACAAGTGTTTAAGTTGGAATGATATTGTGAATAAGTTGCTCTAAACAACACTTAATCACAATTTGTGGCTCAACTATCATTACTAAAAAAATGAGATTCTACCTGCTCTCCGAGATGATTGGGAAGTGCAAACAATTATGTTGAGCAATCAATGTTACAGTGTAATTTGAAATATGTACAAATAAAAAATGCAGTGGAAGTAAAAACAAGAAATGGAGGAAGATTCTGGTAGTGATGTAGTAGGAGAAGAAAGCAATGGTTTTGGTGGGATTTCTAGGGAATTCATTTTGCCTTCCAACATATCTCTCACTTTACTCACTGTAGGTCTACCATTTGCAAAGGTTTGAATGTACCATAGAATGCAATGTTATTGTACACTAATCAAGAAACTCGAACGGTTTCAGAAATAAGAAATTTCACACATAAAAATAAACTATATTAGATAGAAAGTCTGTTGAACGGATAGACAGAATAAAGGCTAATAAAGCCAACTATCCATCACCAAAGACATGAAATCAGAAACAAACCAAATTACAAACAAATATTAATCAGAGGGAAAAGAAAAGAAATGCAACAAAAAGAGAGAGATATTTGGCACTAGTTAATCCTTTATAACTGATTAGATGACAGTCCGCCACTTTGATCCCACCCAACAATTATATGTGACCCTCCTTCTTAAATAACAGTACTACAGACAGAATAGTTTGGTCTAGCTTTTCCATTCAAATTAGTGTGAGGTTCACATTGTTTCAAAATGAATTAAAAGTACAACATAATTATATTGAGTGATCTGTTTTAGAAAGATCTACACAGACTGCAAAGAACTAGTGGTCCATTCTGGCACCGATCTAGTAGTGGGAGAAGAAAGCAAGGGTTTTGGGGGCATTTCTTGGGAATTCATGTTGCCTTCTAGCATATCTATTACTTTACTCATGGTAGGTCTGTCCTTTGGAAACGTTTGAATGCACCATAAACTAACTACAATCATTCTCCTTTCTATCTCTTTATCTTCTGTGTCTATCACCCCGTCAGTTCTCGAATCTTCCCCTTGCTCTAACTTGCGGTATATCCAATCTGGGAAGTACTCACTTGTTTCAGTAGCTTCTAAATTAATATTGTTCCTCACTCCCACCATTTCTAGTAGCATCATTCCATAACTGTAGACGTCAGACTTCTGAGAAACTCCACCAAAATGTTTGTTAAACACTTCTGGAGCTACGTATCCTATTGTTCCTCTAGCATCTGACATGAGAATAGTGCTTTCTTTGGCAGGACAAAGTTTTGCAAGCCCAAAATCTGATATCTTGGGACATAAGTCCTCATCCAAAAGAATGTTATGTGGTTTTATGTCAAAATGAAAAATTCGAGTGTTGCATCCCTTGTGCAAGTAATCTAGTCCTTGGGCTATCCCTTTGGCAATTTGCAACAAATTATCCCAGCTCAAAGATGGAGTGCTTTCGAATCCCTTATTACTAATGAACTTATCGAGAGAACCGTTAGCCATGTATTCATAAATCAGAGCTTTCGTCTTTCCTTCCAAACAGAATCCAAGAAGTTGGACAACATTAACATGAGAAGTCCTACTGATGCTGGCAACCTCATTGATAAATTCTTGGCCATTTCCTTTTGATGCACTTAATATCTTTACCGCCACAGGATAACCATTGAGTATCTCTCCTTTGTAGACAACACCAAAACCACCTTCACCCAGTTTAACTGAGAAGTTGTTGGTCATTTTCTTCACTTCTGAAAATTTATATATCTTTTGTGCTAGAGTCCCATGATTTTTTAAGAATACCTCAATATCTTGGTCGTTTGTCATCCTAAATATTACCTTTCTTTTTGATGACATACATTTACTACAGCATATTATGATGCACATCATGAAGACTCCCATTGCTCCACATGCAATACCTGTTAATAGATATATTAAAAGAGTTAGGGGTTAAGAAAAGTTTAAAATCCCTTCTAGAAGTTAATGTTTGTAAGTTAAAAACGAGGATGGAAAACAAAACGCTTGTATTCATGACCATCACTAATGACTATCATCTTCTCTACATCTTTTTATTTCACTTTCAACGTAATCGAGTATATATATATATATATATATATATATATATATATATATATATATATATATATATATATATATATATATATATATATATATTATGGGTGTAAAAAATTTCTATAAATTATTGATTTAAAAGATAAATCATTTGTTTAGAAATGGAGAATAATTTACTATTCATCTTACCAACCTTCAACTTAAAACAAATTGTGATATAATAATCTCTATTTTAAGATATGATTTGAGGGAGAAGGGTATATTGATGATAGAAAAAAGAAATTTGATAACTTAATTGAATAATGAGGTGATAAAGTGTAATCCAGATTATTATCATATTATACATTTTTATCTGCTCTAACTTTTATTAATTTAAAAATACTAAATATATTATAGTGCTTTGTTTTAACATTTATTTAAATTCTTATTATCTAATCTCATTTATTTATTTATTTTAAATCTAATAAGGAAAAACATGGGTATAATTCTTAATTAATATTATTACAAGTCCTTGTAGATTTAATATTTTAATTAATTTAAAACTACTAACAATAATGATGAGTTTGCGAGAAAGTTAACAATATTGCATTACATGAAAAAAATGAGATGAAACAAGAGTATGAAAGGAAATTTGATTAACCTATGATGATTTTCCTGAGTAAATTTAGTGTACCTGCAGCATTAAGCCATGAAAGCAAACGCGAGTAGTCAAGATAAATATCATAGGAGTATCAAATACATAGAAAGCATACTGATTAATATGACATGATTTATTCATTCCCATGTGCATGATACAAGGTGGGTTGGTTGTATGAATATAATATGATAGGATAGGAGCAACATTAATTATATTTACTTTACTCAATATTAATAATAACAAAACTGGTGATAATTTTGGTGATGATGTTAACAGTGATGGTGATAATAATAGTGATAAATTAATTATATTTCTAACAACCTTCAAACATAAAGGATAAGTCTTACTTTTCTGTTGTTTATTACTATTTTTATCTAAAGGAATTTTAGCGAAGAAAAAGGTTAAAAAAAAAAAAATATAGCTTCAAACTAACAGCTAAACAAATATTCAGAAATTTTATCCGGGTACTGTAAATTATATATAAGTTATAATTTCAAACGTAGGTAACTGTTTTCCGCTGTTAAAAGGACTCGCCTGGAAAATTTGTGAGGCATGTTGTTTTTAATTTGGATTTTCACATAAAAAGTAAGTTTTTTTTTTTTCTTTGTAGAAAAATTGTGACATAGTGAAAGAACAGCAACACAATTTTGCTTCTTCTATTCTTGCTTCGAAATCTGTGGCTCAATTATAAATTTAGACATTAAAAAAAAGGAAATTTAGATATAACTTACATAGTGAAAGAACAACAACGCTATTTTTATAATCAATTTATACAAATATTTATAGAAAATTTGTACACACACACACACACACACATATATATATATATATATATATATATATATATATATATATATATATATATATATATATATATATATATATATATATATATATATATGTATATGTATATGGATGTTAGTTATAAGCATGTTCTTGGAAGCTATTGTATTCATTATTATTAATAGTTAATATTTAAAAGTCAACTTAAGGAAACTAACCCTAAATACAAAAGAAATTAAGAATGACAATATAAAATTCGACATTATAAAACTATTCATGACATTATCTATTAACGCGGTGTTGAATCCAGGTTATTCTATAAAACTTATGCACAGCATGATGAGAATGAAATAAAAGACGAATTAGTATTTTAATCAAAGAACAATTGAACAGGCAAACCAAACCATTCCATTTATGCCTAAGAAACAGATCTCTACCTAACCCTGAATGGATGAAACCCAGAAAATCCAATTCTACCATCTAAAGAGTAAGATTATAGAGTAGAAGAACACAATCGAAAAGAGAAGGAAGAATACATACTAGGAGCATATGAAGAACTTGCCAGGATTTTGCTACAAACCTCACCATCAGACTGCTGATTAGGACAGAGACACGTAAACGCATCCACAGATGCATTGTGTCCACATCTCCCACCAGATTTTGAGCAACCATTACATTGATCTTCATTAACACCACTCCATCCAACCTCAAATTCTCTTCCTAAAACATTGTCCACAACCGAATCATTCTTCACAGCCTCTTTTAGGACATAAACAGTGATGCTATTCTTGCAACTCAGACTATTGAAATTAACCACATCAGTACTCAACACAAAGAATCCAGCTTGAAGATCACCACCTATGCGGCAATTAAATTGTATTGCTCCTTCAATATTCACACTACTAGACGCATATCCAAGAGGGCCACAGTCATATAACAAAGTGTACTCAACATCATTGGAAGTGTTGCTGAAGAAATTCGAATCCAATAACATTGACATAGTCATTAGTACAAGGGTTGGTCCATAAATCCAACCTTGCAATCTTCAAAACCTTAGATATCTGATCCATATCAATGACTTGGAATGTCTGTGACATGATGTCAATGGTCACGTTGTCTTGTTGGCAATCAAGCATGAACTTTGGATGCCCACAATAATCTTGTTGGTCCTTACTCCAAAATGGGTACCTAATATTGTCGAATTTCCCACAGCTAAAAGGTTCACATGCTGTGTACCCTTCAGCATCACTAGATATAGATGTTGGGAAGAAGAGTGAGAAGAAGAAAAGGGTGTTTATGAGGGAAGAAGGAGGTGGAACAAGAGGATGAGGCATGACAGAAATCTGAGAGGGGCCTTAATTTGCAGAGGAACAATGTAAGAGGCCTTGTTTGTTAGAAATGAAGATGATGAAGTACAAAACAACAATCTATGTAGCTAAGTCAACCTAATTAACTTACGTTTTTAACTCGTTTGATTGATAATACAATAAACAATAAACAATCTATGTATCTAAGTCTGATTCACTGCTAGAATAATAATTATTACTTGCAATATAGAATACTTAAATTGTGACATACAAGATATAGAATACTAGTGTAAAATTATACCTATAAAATACATTGAATCGGGAAACGAAATATATGTTCAATCCAATTAAGTATTTAAAATAAAGACATTACAACGTTTAAGATAACTAGTTTTCTATTTTTACTTTTTTTTTTCTTATTCATATTTTCCTTGCACACAATTCCATATTTCATTTTTCTCATTCTTACCCTCTAAAATATTTTTATTTTTTATTTAAATTATTCTTGTAAAGTTCACAGTCAATTCTTACCCTCACAGTCTTAATCATTTTGATTCTGCAAAATTAAGATTTATCTAACGAAGATGTTTACACAGTGGTCAATGGTACTCAGGGCAGGCATAGAGTTAACTTGATCAATTGGTGGTTTTGAATTCTGTCCTAATCGTCAAATGAGATGCTACGTGCTCTCCCAGATGATGGAAAGTCCAAACAATTATGTTGGGTGCATGTTTTATGGCTAAGTGATGCTTCACTCATGTAATAGCTTTCTTAGTGTTTTCTTTTGTGGAAGAGGTTGTTTGAACAATGTTCAGGAAAAATGGTAGACACGAGTAGATGTGTTTTTGTATATGAATAGCAGCGATCTTATTTGAATGTTCACCAAGGAAAGTGTATGCAAAGTAAGAAACTGTCAAACATGAAGAAAATAAATGCGAAATTAGCTGAATGTTTCTGTTTGATTCATAATTGACGAAGGAGAGGGTCCGAAACACAATCATTTTATTTCAAATAAATAAATAATCATAGTGAAGCATCGAGGAAGGAACCTCTGATACTGGTAGTGGATACCAGAAAAGTACAATTATGCATTCAATAACTTTTGCTAAAGTCAAGCTAAAGTCAACAACCTTGTAATAGTCACCACATCAAAGTTTGTTCTCCATTGATGGAGGACTTAGTTGTATGAACTGTGACTTTGTTACGGTTATATATGCGATTGGAAATGAAGACTTAGTCAATATCACAGAAAGAAACAAAATCTGTACACAAAGAGCATTCTTTTATAAAATTATTTTCAATGTTTTAAATAAAAAGAGAATTTGTTTGATAAGATTATTTTTTTAAAACTCATTCAAAAAATACTATCTCGTTTTCAGATTTGAAAATAAATAAAAAAACAGAGCATCTGAAGTTAAATTATTTTCTACTTTTACTTTTTTTATTACCCATTATTTCTTATACTATTTCACCTTTCATTTCACATTTGTAATGATGGCTGCACAATAAAACTGACGAAAAATCAAGGCTTAGATATATCTCTAGTTATATAAAATTATTTTTCTTTTTGGTCATTATATATATATAAAAAAATCATCTTTATAAAAATTAAAATTTTAGAATCATATACTACGATAAAAAAAAAATTTTCTTTTTAAGTTTAAAGGGACCATAATAAAAGAAAAAAAATCTTACACGGACAAAATCAAAAGATTTACTGTCACCACAATAAATTTTATAATTAGCTAGGAAAATTAGCTACAAAATTTATTTTTCACTAATTTGTAGTTAATTAGCTGTGGAATAGTGAAAGAATAAGATTGTAGCTAATCTGAAATAAAATAGCTAGAAGACTGATATTTTTGTAGCTATTCTCTCACTTAGTAGAAAAATAATTTAGTTAGAAAAATTTTTGTCACTAATTCCTCACTATAAATATTAGTTATATTACTTTTTGAAGCTATTTCTTAACTAAATTGTGTAACATACAATTATAGTTAAACGGTAGCAAATTTATAGCAATTATTAAATTGAAAAAAATATTAAATCATTGAGAACCATTCTTATAAATTATTTTAGTTTTATAAAAAATTATTTATAAAAAATACTTGTAAATTTCTCTAAAAATATATAATTATAAAAAATAATTTTTGATCTTTTTGAAAAAAATATCAATAAAAATTAATTACAATTTTTTCTTAAAAAAATTATTTTTACCAAATTGACTATAAATATATAATTATATATATATATATAAATTATTTTTTATCTAAAATAAATTATTTAGAAATAATTATAATTTTTTTGAAAAATATCTAAAAAAATTGATAAATATTTAAAATTATTTTTTGTAAGTTTTTTATAAATTTAAATTTGTTAGAAATATTTAATAATATTTAAATTAATAGAAAAATTTTATAATAATATTTCTTTATAATTTTTTTAGAAACTATTCTTTATAAGCAGAAATACTAATTTATTTATTTTTTTATAATTCTTTTAATAAAAATCTAAATTAATTTTTTTCTCATCGTAATTTTCTCAAACCTAGCGTTGCCCCTCTCTCTGTCCCGTGCCGCTCCCTGCCGCTACTGTCGCTGCCTGCCGCTGCTTCCGTTCTTTTCTTCTTCGTTCATTTCTTCCGTTCTCCTTTATCTATCTCAGCTTCGATTTTCCCCTACCTTTGGTTCATTTTTCCCCTTTTCTTCGCAAATTGTTCACACAATCTTATCCGCTATCGTCAATTATTAATTTAATTAATTAATAGTTCTTTCTCAATTGTTTCTGTTTCCATCCCATTGAAGAAAATCGCGAGCGCCAACAACACTTGTTGCAGTGATTGATCGCGATTGTGTTGTGTTGTGTTGACCTAAGATACCAGCATATCTTCTCGTCCAGGTCTGAATCTAACGCTTTATTTGGTTAATAATCGTTAATTGCATTAATCGCTGAATAAGTTACGAACAAAATTACATTGAAGAAATATCAGCTCGGTTCTGTTCAGTTCAGCTCTTGTAATTGCAATTAATTTCCCCTAATTTAGAATCGTATTAATCTAATTCGGTTCAGCTCTTGTATTGTCACATCATTAACCAAAGACATTTTAATTATATATTCTATGAACGACTTATATACGTAGTGTTTAATACTTTTGTCTGAGAAACAACTCTGTCTGCAAATTTAATCACATTCATATGACAAGATTATCACTTATCCAGTAGAAAGGAAAGAATGGCTTCTTTTTCAGTGGAAGAATTCATAGAAAATGGAATTTTAAAGGGGCTGCTTCAAAAGTTGTTGGAAGAAGGATGGGATGATGTACCAACTCTGAAGATTATGAGTTCAGAGGAAATGGATTTGCTACACATGACACAACAACAAAAGGTGAGTCTTCGTATTAACAATTTTTATTAAAGTCTTCCATCATAATATCTTATCATTCAATAATTTTGTTTACAAAAGAGTGTTTTGATAATTTTGTTTAAGTAGTTCCTATTAATTTCTTTTACTGTGTTATTGGTGCGAATTGTTCATAATCAGAGATAATGACTAATACTGATAGAAACCTAACACATGTAAAGTGAATTTTTCTCCTATCATGATTTATTCTATATTTAAAGTTGTATAATTGGGATTTGAATTCTAAACATACACCTTAGTTTGTAATATTACTCACATATTTTTCAGAGCAGTTGTTGAGATGTTTACACGTAATTATTAAGTGATGATAAACTAGAAACAGTATACATAAAAGGAATGAAGGGTCACTTATCCTTTCACATGTAAATAGACTATTCCGAATTCTAGGACCAAAGTTTACTGTTGGATCCGGACCCGCCTTCAACTCCTCAACTCTGATGACAAATTATTTATAAAAAGCTCAAATCTATGATGAACAAAATTCACTATAACTTTTGAAAGATTAAAAGCAAATTTAGTCATACATACTGGTATTAGAACATATCTAATCCTTACTTAAACTATATGTTTCTTAAGTGTTGTGCATTTTACTTTTAATGTTGTAGGACGCACTTGGAATCAGGTCCTACCTGTAGCTTGATGCAATATGCAGATAAGATGGAGGATTGTGGAAAAAATCCGTCAGAGCTTATCAATTTAAGCACCACAGATCTTTCTACTCAGTTCGAAACGAAGAGCTGCCACACTGCACGTTTTGTAAACAGAAGAATAAGTGATGATTCTTTCAAATTGCATGCACTTGCTGCTAGAAGAAAAAGTAGCATAATGATGCATAGAGACGATAGCATTCCCAAAAGTTTTGGATCTAATAGCTCTAACAGCTTGACAAGATCACACATAAGAAGTAATGCTGCTTTTGATGCACTTGAACAATCAATGGCTGAAATGAAGATTAAAGAAGGATATGTCTTTAAGGGTATTGTAGCGGCTGAACCAGCTGAGTCTAGAGCCTATCACTTTTTAGTTGAAATATTATTTTTGTTATGTTTTAATTGTTTGAAACATCATTTTAACTATGTTTAAATAATATTTTTATATTGAAAATTGATAAGTTTGTCTTTTTTTTTAAGAATATGAGTAATAATTTAAATCTTAAATATTTGATATTATAAATTTTGATAAAAATTGTGAGGGATTAGCTATGAAATAGCGAGAGAAACATTGCAAAGGATTAGCTATGGATTAGTAAGGAAATAATTGTTAGCTAGAGATAAATTATCAGGTATTAGCTATAGATTCGTGAGAGAAAAATTGTGAGGGATTAGCTACGGATTAGCGAGAGAAAAATTGCGAGGGATTAGCTACGAATTAGCGAAAGTAAAATTGCGAGGGATTAGCTATGAATTAGCGAGAGAAAAATTGCGAGAGATTAGCTACGAATTTGCGAGAATGAAATTGCGAGGGATTAGCTACGGATTTGCGAGAGCGAAATTGCGAGGGATTAGCTACGGATTAGCGAGAGCGAAATTGCAAGGGATTAACTACGGATTAGCTACAAGTTTTGGGAGATCAAATTAGCTAGGGATAAACAAAATTTCATCATTTAAATTAGCGAGAGATTTAGCGACAGTTTAGCAACAAAATTTGCTACAAATTTGAGGGAGAATATATTTGTATCTAATTAGCTACTTGGATTTAGTTACGGACTATTCCATAGCTATTCCGTAGCTAAGCTATAGCAAAACATATCAGCGAGAGATTAGCTATAAAATAGTTACGGAATGTGTTATAGCTAATATGTAAAATTCTTGTAGTGGGTAAGAAATAGTGAGATTTACCAAAACCGGATTGAAGTTAATTTCATGAAGAGCAAGATTCTGATACTGATCTTGTTGGAGATGAAAGCAAAGGTTTTGGAGACATTTCCAGGAAATTCACACTGCTTTCCAACATGTCAATTACTGTGTCAATGACGCATATTAGAAATTAAAGTTTATTAAGTTTCTCTAATACACTGATGTCAATTCATGCACTTCAGAAGAAATTAAATATATAAAAAAAATCCTGTAATTGTATATGGACAAATTTATGAAAAAATTATCATAGTAAAAAGATGAATAAAGAAGGGAAATATAACTAGTTAATTACGAGTATAAGACAAAAGATTTTAAGACAGACAAAGTCTATGTTACTGAGATTATAAACAATCATGATGTGGTAGTGTTAGGATATTAAGAAAAATAAGAAAATCGGTTTGTTGTTTAGAAGTTGAAAGTTTAGAAAGAAAGTACAATTGGATTGACAGGGAACTTGGAGAAGTTTATATTAGTTTTTCTATAATAGTAAATTGTCGTTGAAAGTAATGCGAATTCTTTAAAAAAAAAAATCTACAAACTAAAGTTCTAAATAATACTAGAACTAAGAACTTCACGTGAGATATCTAGAATTATTATAATATTTTAAAAATATTTAAATGTAAAATATAAATAATTTTAAAGTGAAAAAAATCTATAATTATTTAAAATACTGTAAATTAACTTGGAGGTGGTAGATGAAATTTATAGTTACTTGATATAATTTTTGTTTTGAGTATGAATAATAACTGCTTAAACTTGGTTTTTAACTGTGTCTTGATAAATATATTTGTAATTTGATTTTTTATAAAACAATTTTTTAGTTATTTTAATCTCATTGATAAAGAGGTATTTAACAGTTATATGTTTTGATACTTGATGATGATAAAATTATTTTTCATTGTTATTATTGTTTTGTTGCAGTAATAGATTATAGTAAATTTATCTTCTTCTTTTTCCCATTTCTTTAAATATTATTTGAAGTCATATTGTTTGACTTATAGCTTTAACGGGTGTCACTATGTCTATTATTGAATGTGCTATTGTTGCTTACTTTTAAGTGAGAAGGTATAATTTGATGTACTCTTCATGTCATTTATCAATTATGCTCAATCATTATTAGTGTAACCAATTTTGAACTGATTATGGCTTAGTACCATATACCAAATTCCTTTGTCTTACAAATATCTTAAAATTTTTTTACTACTCCAAAGTAAATCTAAATTGGTCTTTGCAAAAATCTTGACAAAAGGTTTGTAACATACATGATATCTAGTTACGTAGCTGTAATCAAACTCCTGTAGTGCGATATGTTAGCTTTTGATGCTCTATTATCTTTTTGTAGTTTCTCATTTGTCATGAGTGGAGCAGTCATATATTTGCAACCACACATCTTGAACTTTTTTAATAGAGCCATAATGTATTTATTTTAAGAGATAAATATACCTTTTTTTTATTGTCTTACTTCTATGTCGAGGAGATAATTCATTAAGAAAAGATCGTTCATCCCAAATGTACTCGCCATATCTTCTTTGAATTCTCTTATCATTTATATTGTTTTTTGTGTAGATAAGATCAGCTACATATAGAGAGATAATAGAAGTATCATACTAACATTGAATCCTGATGTATATCTGTCTCTAGAATAAATGATTTGTTGTTCAATATAATTAACAAACTTACGCAATGAATCACTTAAACATTACGTGAGTTCTTAAATTTATTCAAAATTTAGTACATAGTAGATTTTAATAAAAGATTGTTCATATTCAATTTTTATATTTAATACAATCATAAATATTTAGAGTAAATTATAAGAATAGTAAAAAACTATAAAAATAAATTGTTGAAAAGTAAATGTGCAAGAAAAGTAAATGATAGAAAAATAAATTTAATCCATTACCAAGAATAAAACAGTAAATTGATAAAGAAAATCAATGATATAATAGTAATCTAAATTACAAAGAAGTTCATAGCGTTTTTTATAATATAAATTTTTTCGTACAATTTGACAATCACCTGTTATTATATTTATTTGATCCTATATATATTTTTCAATGTAACCACCAAGGTGACATAAAATAAAATAATAATTAATGAAAATATAAAATAAAATTAATAATTAGAATATTTGAACGGTTATATCTTTGTAACGGTTTCCCTTCACTTCACTCTCTTTATAGTGTTACTTATAAATGCACATGTCAAAAAACTAAACCATAACCATCTCCATAAATATCTTGATACACCACTTAAAGATTCTCTAATATAACCTCTTATTAATATTTTATTTCTATACATTGTATCTTTATATTTTAATGTTCTTCATTTTTTAATTCCTAATTTTTTTATTGTTAGTACTCTGACTTTTTCTATGTCCCCAAATCTTTTTCTTTCTATAACTTATAGTGATGATTTTTCTACCCTCATAATATACATTTCTATATTATTACATATATTCTTTTCAAATGTCAAATATCTCTTTTCTTGATTCATTCTTTGTATCTATTTATAATATTTAGACTTAACAATAATGTTATCTTACACTTATTTTTCTTGAATCCTTTATTGATGAACTACTTGCTTTGAGCAATATAATATTTTCGTTAGCTTAACACTTTGACTTCATTTTCATTGCTTATAAAGTCTAGGGTTTGCTCCACGTATATTTCTTCTTCAAGAATATCATTTAAAAAAAAGTTAATTTAACATCCAATTAATGCTCCATCATTTTTGTGTTAAAAAAGCTATGGCTCTTGCACCAGCATTGTTGAATGGTTTATAAATTAGATTCATAAAGTATCACATATATTTGATATTGTATAACCTAAATTTTAAACCTTAAATGTTTAACGTAAAAGGAGGGAGGATAGTACATTAGTAGGTGTTAGAATGTACGTAGGAATGAAGTCTCTACCGTATGCTAGATATCAATTTTAATAGTTGGGACTGGTGCAATTGAAACACTGACCATCCTATCCACCAGAATTGTTACTCGGACAAGCATGCGGGCTTACGAAACGACATCACACTAATTAATGGAAAAAATTCCTGACAAAGGAAAAATTAAGGAAAGGTTATTAGAAGTTAAAGCTCATAAATTCACTCACGCTTAGGGAAACGAAGAAAAACTGAGACTTGAAAAACCCAATAATGAATCACTGTAGAAAAAATCCAGGGACCACGTTAATTTGGGTATTCGCAGGGTCAAAACTGGACCATGGAAGTGAAGATGTAAAGAAGTAACCACCTAATTAATACTTGTGGGGACCATCTCAGCAAGACTTGGAAAAATGTGCCTCAACAACACTTGGAAAAATCAGGTCAACGTAATTGTCATCGAAGCATCCAGAGATTATTGAGTACATGGGTATTATAAATTGGAATTACATATAATTATTTTTATTATTAATGCATATATATACGAAGCAATACTTTCTTCTTCTTCTTTTTTTAAGTTCTAATCTGTCTAGGACTTTCATAGGATGTATGTCCCCATGTTAGAACAATTAATACCAATATCCTGAGAGGATGGACTACTGGGTGGGAACTGGGAACTAGAATCTGGAACGTCACACTAATTTTTTTTTTTTTTTTCAACTTCATCTTATATCAATTTTCATTAAGTAAAAATCTCATATTATAACTTATAAATATGATTTAGTATGATACTTTTTTTTTTTTCATAATAAACATATTGCGAGGTAATGGTTTTGTTAGAGTGTAAGCTATGAGACAAGAGAGAGGAGAAATGAAGAAAAAGAGGAATAGAAGGATAGAAGACATAATAGTTTTAGGAATAAAAGTGTTGTAGAGCATCAGACACATTTGAACAATAATAGTTGCATGAAACTAGATGTTGAAGAATACCATCGTTCCAGCAACTTCCGTCAGTTTCGTTGCATCTTGTGCCATCTTGAGGAACACCATAGTGTTGGCAAATTTTGTATTGGATCATCTATATATATGATACATAATTTTGGGTCATTACACCTCAAACCCATCACTGATAGCTTCTCTCAGTACTTCACCATAAGTATAATTATAATGCTCGAGAGGAGCGGCAGTGGGCACGTGCAAACGTTGCCTGCAATTCTTAAGCAATGAGTATTTCTCGAACATCTCTTGCTCCGTATCCCTCCTCAAAATATTGCAGAGACACGCAAGCAAATTTGCGATTTAAAGGGGAACCTGGGATGTAATAATGAGGACAACCATCGAAGAATATAGGGTGATGTTGTGCACTGAAGCGGAGTGGAAAAGATTGTTGTTCAAATTCCAGCAAATGTAATAAAATTGAGAACATGATAAGAGTGAATTTTTGAAAAGTGAATATTACTGATTCTTTATCATATTGAAAATAGGATTACAACTTTATATTTAAATATTCTTTTAAGTGTTAAGATATTTGGAGGAGATTTACAGAAGAGAAATACATTAAAGAGAGATAGGTCTAATTTCCGTAACTATGGAAGTTTCTATCCACTCAAAATCAAAATCTTAAGATATTGAGTTATGAATAATATTTTCTTATATATATTATTCAAATTTCTCATTCTTATTTAATACGAGACTTAACTCACGTTTGAATTATCTAACAATAAGAATATTACTTTATTATATTTTATTTAAATTAGGTATTAAGAGATTTTATTATCTTTTAAGAGAGAAGGTAAAAAGATATTAAGTTACTATTTTGATTTAAGCAATTATGAATGAGATATTATTGATATTTAATATTTTGTAATATTTTTATTATATATATTATATATACATAGAATACATGAATAAAAATATACTTACATGATATATCAGAAATAGACATACACAAAACCTTAAAAATTCTCATCAAATCTTCTCCTCAAGTGTGAATTATTTCATATTGGTACATCTCTTCGAGCACATCAGTAACCCTTCCAAGTACCATCGTTTACCATAACAAAACACACTTACTTGATCCACTTTGTCAGGAAGACTTTTGATACAATGACCACTCTCAAATTTTCAATCAACCTTCGACTCTCATATCACTTGTTGAGTCTTTCTCTTCATGTAACATAGCTTTCAGGCTCTCCCCATCAGTTAACAACACAAACTCATGAACTGGATATTGTTAAGAAGGATATCTCTAGTAGATCTTCTCAACTGAGGTTCTATAGGAGGTTTAGAAAGAACTAATTCAGCTGATTCATTAACTTGTGTCACAGACATATTATCTACATTTTTTTTAAATCTGCATTCACATAACTCTCCCATGATTAATCTCCCATGATTAATATCACCGGTGGGAGATTCAGACTCAATATCAATGCACTCAAGAACAACATACATGTCTTGACTTTTCTTTTTTTATCAATATCTTCATAAGTATCTCGTCACATGTTTGATTAATAAAATGATCACCAGACTAATTATTTTTACGCGAGAATTACTTATTCAACAAAAGACACATATTAAATGTTGACCGTCTTTATGTTTAGACATCTAAATTTGTTACAATTGTTTTATGAATGAAGGTTTTCAATTTCTGGTTTGTATACTCTAATAATTAAGATAGCTTGCAGTTTTACAATTTGTTACAATTGTTTTATGAATGAACTCTACTGCTGCCATACAGCCGCTTGCAGTTTCATTTATTTGGCCACCACACCACCGAAATCCCAGGAAGGGATGCATGGATAGGAAGTTTAAACTTGGTGACTACACATATTCACGATTCAGAGAGACTGATATTCTGAAGCATTACACAAAATCTCTCAATTGACATGGATAGGATTTTTTATATATTGACATCTTGGTCAATGGATAAAAGGTTACTTAGGCTGAACTCTCAATAACATCCATTAAAAAAAGAAACTTTTTTAATATATGATAAGTATAAAGTTTGAAATATCTACGATCATTCAATAAAATGATGTACAACTAATATATGTCCTAGAGGTTTATTACCTTAGCTCGAATAACATTTTTTTTTATATATAAAGCATGTGTTTCTTATTAACAATTTTTTACTTTCAAGCATGCGTCTCTCTCCGATGACTAGGTGCATCTATAATGAATATTCTTGTAGTCTATTATCTTTCTCTTAAACAGTGATGTTTAAATGATTATATTTTATGTTCTTTTGATCTTTCATGTTCTTAGTATGCACGAGGAATTCTTTCTTTCAGGGGAAGTTAAAATGGAGGAAGAAAATGTTGTAGATCAATTATATTTTGTCTGTGATGGAATGCTGGTATGATTTTATATTTCAACAATACCTCTACAATTGCTCAATATTTATATTTTTCTTCTGCTTAGGTTTCAGATGTTTTTAGAATATAGACATGCTATATGCATTTCGTTTTTGGCATGGGACATGCAGCATGCTGAATTCTGAATGTCATAAATTTTCCCCATGATAAAGTATTCATATACGTGGTACGTTATCATACAAGAAGCTTCTCTAGTAGAATTTTATTCATACTTTTTTTTATATAGATATAAATTTCATTTTTTGTTTTTGAATGCCTAAATCTGTTTGTATGCAGGAGAAAGTAGGCATAGGTGAAGATGGGTCTGACAAAACTGTTTTATTTCTTAAGCCTTGGAGAGATGTTTATTATTTGTGATATTTCTTTGCTATATGCTGTCCACAATTTTAAATTGAGTAGACTTCTCCGACTTGACAATCAATTGTTTATAAATACTCTAGACGAATACTTTTGTGATAAAGGACATAAAATTCTACCATACTTTGAATCAAAATCCACGTAATGAAAGAAAGATGAGAAGGTAAAAATGAAGTTTTACGCAGTTATTTCACAAGATTCTCATCATATATCTACCTTAAAAAAATTTTGAAATTATTTGTAAGAAGAATACGAAATACCTACAAAGCAAAAGCAAAATAAAAAAGTTAAAAAAAAAATCTAACAATTAACTAGGTCAATATTATTATTGAAAAATAAAACTTCAAAAAATAACAATCGATCGAGAAAATTTTGTTAAAGATGCAAGAAATGTTATAACTTTATACGCCTCAGGAAGGAGAAGACTGGAGAGATCATGAAGGTCAAAGACGAAACTCTCCATCAAAAAGATAAAAAACTTGAAAAAACGTGATCGTAAAATTGAAAAACTTAAGATGAGATGAAAAAAATGTAGGAGTTCAAAGAGCTTACATCTAGCATAAATTTGTTTGTGTTAAAGGATAATAAAACAAAAAACAAGAAGAATGAGTGTTATTTTCTTCACATTATATTTTGTGGAGAAAAGATCCATGAAAGAGGAAGAAAGTAAATTTCAACATGTAAGGGACTAGATTGAGGACTGTTAATGCAAAAAAGAAAAAGCATATTGATAAGAAATATCATACTTAAAAAAAAGGTTTGTTTGCACCTATTTATAAACGAAAGACATGATAATGTAATAACAAAATAAAATGAAGTGATTATCATGTACAAGAAAGAGAATGATAAAAATTATAAATAGAAGAGGAGAAAGAAAACAAGAATAATAAGAAAAAATATAAAATTCAAATAAACGAGATAGTAAAGTAAAATGGAATATTGAGAATATATGTTTTATTATCTTTTATTAGATATTAAAAGATTTTATTATCTTTTAAAAAAAGAAGATAAAAAGATATTACATTATTATTTTGATTTAATTAAATAAGATTGAGATATTATTAATATTAAATATTTTGTTATATTTTTATTCTATATATAAATAGTTCATGAATAAAATATAATAAACATACACAACACCCTACACATTTTCATCAATATGGACATTGTACCATAGAAGGGTCATGTGATAGCAAATAAAAATTGAAGTTTTCCCTTTTTCACGTTCTATCTTACCTTTTACTTGTTTCACAACTTTTGAGTTTCATCTTACCATATCATGAGACAATATGTTTTACGTCAAAATATTCTTCATGATCCAATGACCATAGATAAACTTTACAAAATAAATATGGCAAAATGAATCATTAATAGTTGATTGTGTTGTTGAACAATGGACATAATCAACAATTTCATAGAAATGGACATTAACGTAAAAATAAGTTCTATATACAATATTATTTTAAATGCATCATTCAATGTATTTCCAATCAACAAACACAAAATATAAATGGTGAAATAAGTATGAAATATTATTTATTTAATTGGTTATATTTTTCATACGGATAATAATTTTACATATTTTTTCATTAGTATGATACATTATAAGTGGAACAGTAACACTAAACACTTCAACAAACTTATCCATATGTTATCTATGTGAAAATATGAGAAGAGAAGTTTCACATAAGGGAAATTATATGTTAGTACTTACTTTTTCTGTTATAAAAGGAGCATAATGTTTATCTCGTAAATCACCAGAAATCTCCTCCTTCTCTTTTTTACTAGTGTATTGTATAGTAGTTGAGTTCTTTTATTTCTGAGGGAGAATATTATTATTGTTTTCTCCTAAGATTTAAAGAGGGTATTGTAATTTCTTTTGGTAGTAAATTTTATTATTGTCTATTGTTATTTTGTTTCTCTTTTGTCATCTTTTATTTTAGTTGAGTTCTTATGCAGTTATTCTGATTCCTAACAGTGGTATTATAGTCGATGATTAGTTTCTTATTTATGATATTATTTCGTCGTTATAGTCATTAAAATAGTGTTGGAGAAAATTTTTAATATGCTTTGCGGTTAATCTGATCTTCAACATCAGAAAAAAGTTATTCTAGTTATTGGATATAAAGTGTGGTAGTGATATCATAGAATAGTGTAGTGGTATCATAAAATAGTTTTGGAGAAAATTCTTAGTATGCTATATGGTTGCAAGGTTAATATGATCTTCAACATCAGAAAAGAATTATTTAGTTACTGGATATAAAGTGTGGTAGTGGGAATGCTTTGTGGTTGCGGTTAAGCTGATCTTCAACATCAGAATATAAAGTGTGGTAGTGTGAATACTCTATGGTTGTGGTTAATCCGATCTTCAACATCGGAAATAGTTATTCTAGTTACTGGATATAAAGTGTGGTACTATGATAGTGCATGTCTAGGAAAGTTCTGACAAGGAAATACTTGATATTTAAGTATGTCCATTAGTGATCCCCCACCCTTTTTTCCTAGGACCTTACCTGGTGTACTAGTTACGGTTTACATTGTTGTTTCATTAGACAATACTATTCATAGTGGAAGGTGCATAAGTCGGTTAAAACCAGGATAACAAAATATAAGATAGAGAAGTTTAATGAGAATAATTTTCATAATGAAAACTAAAGATAAAAATAATTTCGAGAAAAAACAATTGTGTTAAAGTAATTGAAGAAAAGACTGTGGGCATCACATATCGAATGTGGAAAGAAATTAACAACAACATTATAGCAAATTTGTGAAGAATGGTATAACGAAGGAGATTTGGGAGTCCTTATTCAAATTGTATCAAGAGGAAATACATATTGAACTTGGTTTATTATTATATGTTGGAACCGTTGATATTATCCCTAGGAGGAGCTAGATATTTTGTATCAGTGATGATAATAATTACTCCAGGAGATTAAGGGTGTACCCTATCAAGAGGAAGTTTGTATTTTCAAAGTTCTAGAAATACAAATTCTTGAACTATGCTAACAATGTGAAGGGGTATTTCTTGTGGATTCCACTATCCACAAGGTTATTGTTAGCAGATATACAAATATTATTTTTCTTAAGGTGAACATAGAGAAAGTATTGATATGCTCCAACTAGAAGACTTAAAGGAAAAGGAAACTTGGTTCACATGTTGATCAAATCTCTGTACGATTTTAACCAAGTGTCTAGGTCTTAATACAAGTGATTTGATTCTTCATGATTAGTCTTGATTACTATAGACTAAGTTCAGACTATTGTACTCATTGTATGTGGATGACATGTTAGTGGTAGGCTGCAACAAAGTTTGAATCCAGGTTTTGAAAGTACAGCTGGTTAGGAAGTCTGAAATGAAGAGTTAGGGACAAACAAATAAGATTTTATGAATGCAAATTCACTAAGACAAAAAATATAGGAAGGTTTAGCTTTATCAGAAGAATTATGTACTGAATGTCTTGCAGTACCTCAACATGCAAGGGTGTAAGCTAGTTTTTACCTCACTTCCTATCAATTGTAAGTTATCCTCAAGTATGAGTCCCAACAATGAAAAGGAGATAATGGAAATGTCTCGCGTACTGTATGCATCAACGGCGGGAAATCTTATGAATATTATGATCGGTACAATACCAAACATTACACAAACAGTGAGAACAATTAGTATATCAATGACAAATTGTGATAGAAATCTTGAGTATTATCAAGAGAATTCTTATCAAATGAATCTTGAATGTTGTATTATGCTTCGGAGGATCAAAGCTAGTTGTTAGATGCTATGTTTGTTCAGATTTTATAGGTGATTTTGATGAGTTTACCTTTGTTTGAGAGATAATAATTGATTATCCAAGTTATAGGATGTTGTAGCTCTGTCTATCACAAAAACTAAGTACATGACAGTCACCCAAACATATAAGGAAGCTATTTGAATTAAAAGGATAATAGAGGAACTCGAGTATAAACAACAACATATTATTTTGTATTTGTGACAATTAGAGTGTCTTGCACATTACAAGGAATCTTGCCTTGTATTTCATGACAAAGCAAAAAGAACCTAGCAGATATTATAACAGTCGATTAGCAGTGACAAATTTATATAGAGGCGATCCTATTGCAAGTCTATTGCAATAACAACATAAAAGACAATAACAATGTATTGTGATGATTTAATTAATTTAATCAAAATCTTCAAGTGAGAGATTGTGAAAATGTGAAAAGAGAAGTCTCATATCAAGAAAATTATATGTTGGTGCTTATTTTTCCTATTATAAAAGGAGCACAATGTTTTCCTTGTAAATCATCTCAACTATTTTCCTTCTCCTTTCTACTAATGCATTTTCTCCTTAAGATTTAAAGAGAGTATTGTAATTTTTTATGATAATAAAATTATATGATTGTCTATTGTCGGTTTTGTTTCTTTTTTCTCATTTTTCAGTTTTGTTGTGAGTTATTATGTAGTTACTCTGATTCCTAATAATCTACCTATCGACAAATTGGTCTGCCAAGTTAGTAGTAAGCTGATCTATCTAGTTTGATCAATCTTTTCATTCTACGATTAAGTGAATCATCGTCAAAATCTATCGAGGTTCATTCTGCGATTAAGTGGATCATAGTCAAAATCTATCAAGAGAAACCAACTTCGAAGAACATATCCCTTATACATTTAATATAATGCCTTTTAAATCAAATTTTTTTTTTTATCTATTCCATGACACTTTCATCAATGTATCATGAAGTTAGATCCATGAATTATTATCTACCAATAATACCTACACCTCAAAATCCAACTAAGAAAAAAAAGAAAATAATAGTTATACAAATGTACAACAAAGACCTATCTTCCAATGAAAGATTTATACAAAAACAAGTGAATACCATCTAGTAGATCAAGTTCCCAACATTAAATTATTTTCAATTTAGTCTTATATTATTTGCAACCATTTCATTCAATTTTATTAATATTAATCTATTTCTTTTTGTTTTACCTATATTTAAATTTTTAAAATATGATAAATAAATAAATATTATTTTATAAGAGAATTAAAGTTATTCATAAATCTGAACTTAATGGATGCTATTAAATACGACATTAACTATAAATACAAGGAATTCATGTTAATTATCTTCAACTTCAAACATATCTACCACTCTACATAGTAGGTCTATCATTTGGAAAAATGTTTGAATTTTCTTCTGTATTCATCACCTCATTCAATTGCATCATCAACTACAGAAGTAATGTTCTTCCTCCCTCATACCATTTCTAGCAGCATCATTCCATAACTACAAACATCGGACTAGTGCGAAACTCCACCAAAAAATGTCTATTTATCATCTCTGGAACTACACACTCCATTATCCTTCTAGTGTCAGAAATAGAACAAGTGCTTTCTTTTCTGGGACAGCTTTGATAGCCCAATGTCTGATATTTTGGGACAAAAATTCTCATCCAAAAGAATATCATGTTGTTTTACGTCAAAATGTAAAATGTTATGATTGCAGCCCCTATGCACGTTTTCCGACCCTCGAGCTATACCTATTGAAATTTGATATAAGTTCTTCCAGCTCAAAGATGCAGTTGTTGCTGGCCCTGGTAAATAAACTTGTCCCAATAAACCATTAGCCATCAGCTCATAGATGAGAGCCTTTTTGCGACCTTCCAAACAAAGTCAGAGAAGTCACATTGTTACCATGAGATACAAACTGTTCCTGAATCTAAATCTTCTGTTCAACAAAATTAAACACTCATGTGTTATTAATTATAGAATGCAATGTTATTGTACTCTAATGGGTAAACTTCATCCTCTAAGAGAATTCACACATGGAAAATACTATATTGACTGAAATTCTGTTGAACGGATAGACAGAATAAAGGCTAATAAAAGCCAACCATCCATCGCCAAGGAAATGACATCAGAAACAAATCAAATTACAAAAGAAAAAACAGAAAATATTAATTAGTGAGGAAAAAATATAAATGCAACCATGAGGGAAATATATTTGCCACTTATCAATCCTTTGTAACTGATTAGATAACAGTCAGCCACTTTGATAAATGAATTAAAAGTACAACATAACTGTATTGAGCGATCTGTTTTAAGAAAATCTACACAGACTCCAAAGAACTACGGGTCCATTCTGACTCCGATATAGTGGGGGGAGAAGAAAGAAAAGGTTTTGGGGGCATTTCTTGGGAATTCATGTTGCCTTCAAGCATATCTATTACTCTACTCATAGTAGGTCTATCCTTTGGAAACGTTTGAATGCACCATAAACTAACTACAATCATTCTCCTTTCTATCTCTTTCTCTTCTGTGTCTATCACCCCGTCAGTTCTCAAATCTTCCTCTTGCTCTAACCTTCGGTATATCCAATCTGGGAAGTACTCACTTGTTTCAGTAGCGTCTACATTAATATTTTTCCTCACTCCCACCATTTCTAGTAGCATCATTCCATAACTGTATACGTCAGATTTGTGTGAAACTCCACCAAAATGTTTGTTGCACACTTCTGGAGCTACGTATCCTATGGTTCCTCTAGCATCTGACATGAGAATAGTGCTTTCTTTGGGATGACAAAATTTAGCAAGCCCAAAATCTGATATCTTGGGACATAAGTCCTCATCCAAAAGAATGTTATGTGGTTTTATGTCAAAATGTAAAATTCTAGTGTTGCATCCCTTGTGCAAGTAATCTAGTCCTTGTGCTATCCCTTTAGCAATTTGCAATAAATTATCCCAGCTCAAGGATGGTGTTCTTTCGAATCCCTTCTTACTAATGAACTTATCGAGGGAACCATTAGCCATGTATTCATAAATAAGAGCTTTCTTGTTTCCTTCCAAACAGAATCCAAGAAGTTGGACAACATTAACATGAGAAGTTCTACTGATGCTGGCAACCTCATTGATAAAGTCTTTGCCATTTCCTTTCGATGCATTTAAAATCTTTACCACTACAGGATTACCATTGAGTATCTCCCCTTTGTACACAACACCAAAACCACCTTCACCCAGTTTAACTGAGAAGTTGTTGGTCATTTTCTTCACTTCTGAAAATTTATATATTTTTTGTGCTAGAGTTCCATGATTTTTTAAGAATACTTCAATATCTTGGTCATCATTAGTCATCCTCAATTTTACCTTTCTTATCGACGATGTATATTTACTACAACCTAATATGATGCAGATCATGCATACTCCCATTGTTGAACTTATAAGACCTCCTGTTAATACATATAATAGAAGAGTCAGGGTTTATAAAACATTTAACTCCTTTCTAGAAGTTAATATTTATAAGTTTTAAACGAGTATTAAATCAAAATCCACCCTCAAGACCATCATTCATGGCTCAGTTTTTTTTTTTTTTTTTTTCATCCTTTTATTTTACTTTGAAGCTATGCAGCATCATAAATAACTAAGTCCTCGTTGGTTGAGGTTAAATATAATCGAACAAATTCTTATATATATATATATATATTATTTTTCTTTTATATTATTAACGTTTCATTTTTAGTTCTTAAAAATATTGCATACATAAAACACGATGAAACAAAAAGTGTGCAAGAAAAAATTATCATTACCTATAATGATTTTTCTGATAGAGGAAATTGTGCCTGTAACATTTAAGCAGTGAAAGCAAACGCAAATAGTCAAGGGAAATATCATTCGAAATACACTGAAAGCATTATGAGTAATATGAAATTATTTATTCATTCAATTAACATAAAACTTACATGTCCATGATGCAAGGTTTGTGTTAGGATATAATAGGATACAAATAGAATAAGCATTAACTATATTATTTTATATTTGATGTGCGTTATGATATGAAATGTATATTATTAAGTTGAATTTTAGCATATAATAATAATAATAATAATAATAATAATAATAATAATAATAATAATAATAATAATATAATAGTATATACTGTTATTATCAAAATGATCATAAAAATGATCATTATTTAATATTATTAGTATATACTGTTATTATCAAAATGATCATTATTTAATATTATTATTATTATTATTATTATTATTATTATTATTATAAAAAAGATAACAAATATAATACGGACAGTAAGATAATAAGAGAGATTATCCTATATTCGTTTCTTCTAAACCAACATCCCTTAAAATATCGGGTAGAAGAAGGAAAGTAAATCTTATTCAAACACTAAAATTTTTATAATTTATGATAAATAATTATTTTGTCATAAACCAGAACAAATAATTTACATATAATATTTAAAAAAAACACTATCGTAAATAAGAAGCAAATTAAATATAACAATAAAAAACCATTAAACTCATTTATTTTTATGAAATTTGATTAATTAATAGTAATTTTATTATACACATATTTTATATATTTTACAACCTACATTTTTTTATGTATTAAATAGTTTTATTTGAATAGTTGTTTAATTCGTATTTATTTTATATTTTATTTTTATTATTGTCAAAGATAAGTTTTTTTTTTAAATAAGTTCTAAAATTTTACCTAAAAGATTAATAAATAAAAAAATAACAATTATTTTCATGAGATAATTTGTTTTAATAAAAAAAATAAAAACAGATATAAAATATGAATAAATTGATTAAGAGTAACATATCATAGTTGTATATATTACTTATAAAAGAGGTTTATATTTAAGTAAAACAACAACGAGTGAGTAGTGATACTTTATTAAAATACAACAAGGGTAAATTTATTTTGAAACTAGGAGTGTGAATATTATTTAAAAGAGAAGTGATATATAAAGACCATTATTCCTTATGAACATTCCATCAACAAATTTTTTTAATAATAAACATAAAAATAAAATTTTATTATTATAAAATAAATAAAATTAGTTGTTGTTAGGTTGTATTATAAAATTAATAAAATTACTTAGTGGGAGTTATCTACCATTTTTCTATTTAAAAAGACCTGATAAAACATGTGCAGATAATATGATAATGTAAAGAAGGAATAATACTGTAGGGGACCATTAGTAGGTGGTGGACATGGAAAATTTGAGGATGGGAGAGAAAGAGGGGGTTGGTCCAATTGCAGCTGTTCCCAGACTGCAATCAATGAATTTGATGTGCTAACTTTGTCCTAATGGGAACCGAAATGTATGGTTGATGCTACAATTGTGGTATTATTGTTGCATGAAAATGCGTATTGGTTAAAGATATAGCAGAATTAAGATTAAGGAGCATTGATGAGAATTGAGTACCTAAGAACAGGATTTTGTTACAATGAAAAAGGAAGAGTAATAGAGAGGATAAAAGACATACTTTTGTGAGGAGAACAGTGTTCATATGAGCAATAGCTGCATGTAACTTCATGTTTGTTGGTCAAACACTACTAGAAAAATGTTAAATAATAATCAGAAATCGATGATCGAAAAATTTAGTTACTTATCGATGACCGAATCGATGAACTAAATTATTATTTTTTAGTCTAATAATCGAAATAAGTAACCGAATTTTCGGTCACAAAAAATCGGTTACTTATTTCAGATCACTTTATATTTAGTAATCGATTTAGTGACTAAAATTTCAGTCACTAAACAAATAATTTTTAAACTGATAACTATTTTTCATTTATATAAATATTTTATTTAAAATATTTTTAATATAAATTTACTTAATGATTTAAAATAATTGATAACATTTTTAATAAAATTATAAATATTTTAAAAAAATTGTTTACTAACTTATTAAATAATTTAGTAATATAATTATTTGATTTTATTTTTTAATTTAGCATGTGAATAAAAAAATTAAAATTGATTATTAAATTAGTCACCGAATCGGTCATTGATTCGGTCACTAGAATCGATCACTAGATTCGGTCATTGATCTGATCACTCAGAATCGGTCATTGATTCGGTCACCAAATCGGTCATCGATTCGGTCATCAGATCGGTCACTAAATCAATAATTAAATTAATTATTAATTTAGTCTCTTTATATATATATATATATATATATATTACTTGTATGTTAATAAAAATGTATTTCAATGTATTTATAAAAAATTAAAATTATTTTAATTACTTGAATTGATATTTTAAATTTATATTAATATCTTGAATAATTTAATAGTTGGATATATATATATATATATATATATATATATATATATATATATATCACTTTATTTTTTTTAATTAAAATTAATTTCATAAAAAAATTAATATTTGAAAATTAAAATGCAAAAATATATATATATATATATATATATATATAAATTTATTTATTTTTTAAAGATGATATATTCAATGTATGTTAAAAAAGTTTAAGTCAAACTTGTTTTTATAGAAGATTTTCAAAACTGCTTGGTTTAATTAATCTGTTAAAAGATTCTTTTAATCTGTTAAAAGTACAGTTTTAATCTGTTAAAACTTCTTTTAATCCATTAATACGTTCTTGATTCTTTAACTGATTTGTTTTAAGCTGATACGACAACGTTTATATCAATTAAAACACTTTACAAAAAATCTTCTAAGTTGATTTAATCGATTGTTCGCGATTCAATCGATTGAAATACTGCAAAACTTTCTCCTAAAACTTTTTAAGTTATTTTAACTGATAAAAATAAGTTTTAATCGATTAAAACGCTGTGCAGAAACTGTTTTAATCGATTGAAACGAGATTTAATCGATTTAAACACTTATGATCGGTCATAATTGTATTCTGACCGATCATAATGGAAACCATATAATAGCGGTTCAACGGTTAACCGCTATCTAAGTGAGGTTTTAAGAGCGGTTCCTGTGTAACCGCTATGTAAACTGTACCTCGCTTGAGCGACAACTTATTCGGTCGAGCGAGACGCCCCCTGCACAAAATTGGTACTCTCGGGTTGTGTTTCGCTTGAGCGAGTCTAGTCTCGCTCGAGCGAGATTTTATTCCGATCGATTATATTTTCGAAATGATCGATCATATTTGATAAGTTTTTCAAATAATTAATTATAATCGATTAGTTTTCTAAATTATTGATTAGAATTGATTAGTTTTGCAAATAATAGATTAGAATTGATTAATTTCAAAATATATACTAAAAAATTATAATTAAAACTATAAATTAGTTAAGAATATTGACTATTGTAAAGATAAAGTAGATCATGGGAGATGAGGATGATAATATAATGATAGAACTTACAAAAATGTAGAATTGAGAAGTTTGAAACAAATAAAATTAAGAAAATAGATATTTAATTACACTTTTAATAAATTTAAGATAATACTAGTTTTGATTTTTTTTTTAATATTTTTTTAATTATTTAAAACAGAGAAACTATAATTTTAGTTTCTAACTACTTGAATTTAAAGAATTAAATTTATTATTATTTAATCTTTTAATTTTAGTATTAAAATTTTAAATTATATTTTATTAAATTAAAATAATTACCATATATTTTTCTACTTTGAGAATGAACAATATAATTAAACTCAAAATTGACAATATTATAATACATTTTTGAACTGTTTTGGATTAATTTTTTTTCCTAATTTTTGATAAAGTTAATTTTAATATTTAAAAGTATTTAACATTTTGAATTCTGAAAGGTTTTCTCTAATAGAAAATTTAAAAACATAATATAAAAAAAATAGTTAATATAAGTTTTCAAGTTATTTTAACCGATAAAAATAAGTTTTAATCGATTAAAACGGCTGTGCGAAACTTTTTTAATCGATTGAAACTAGATTTAATCGATTAAAATAGTTATGATCGGTCATAATTGCATTCGACCGATCATAATTGAAACCATATAATAGCGGTTCAACGATTAACCGCTATCTAAGTGAGGTTTTAAGAGCGGTTCTGTGTAACCGCTATGTAAACTGTATCTCGCTTGAGCGACAACTTCTTCGCTCGAGCGAGACGCCCTACACGGAATTGGTACTCTCGGGTTGTGTTTCGCTTGAGCGAGTCTGGTCTCGCTCGAGCGAGATTTTATTCTCGATTGATTATATTTTCGAAATGATCGATCATATTTGATAATTTTTTCAAATTTTTAATTATAATCGATTAGTTTT